AAAAGAAGTATAAGCATTTTTTGAAGCATTAGTTATCAGCAAACCTTTTCTTGATCAAAGCTGACTTTATCCAAACCAGATTTTTGTACAGTATTTATGCGTGCCTAAAGGGTAATAAACTCTACAAATGTGATGAATAAAATAAAATATAGTGGGAAAAAAAAGTTAATGCCAACAGTAAGTTTATTCTAATCAGCATTCTGAAAACATAGCACAATTTCAATGATATTTCAAAGGTTCTGGGCAGTTGGAACCATTCCTAGGCACATGGGACTGAGAATAACTTAGCAAACAAGAGAAGCAGCAAGGAATGAAAGAACCAGTGGATGTAAAAGGAAGTGGCTGGCATGCCTATGATGTTTCAAAGGGCCCCAGTACATTAAATTTGCTTTTCTAGCATGAATAGAGTGTGAAAAGGAAGTCCTATGTAGTTTTTGAAGGGTCTGAAGTAGTTTGGCATGCCACCTGAAAAAAATAAACAAGGTCTTCAGCTCTGAAGTACTATAGCCAGAAGCCTGAGGAGAATACCTCCCTCTTGAAGTTAGTTATAGCAATGGTCAGAGGAGTTGAAGAAGTAACCCCCTGGTAATCTTGAGTGAGCTCCAAGAGATCTTGGATGTGGTTAGTCATCTTGTAGAAATACAATAACTTATTAAGTATTGTGTATGTGCCTAGATGGACAGGATTTGGACCAGAAACTCATCCTTTAATCACTAAATTTGTTGGGATTTTCTCAGAGAACATGGTTAAGTGGCAAGACTTTCCATGATAGGCTCAAATGCTATGAAAAATGATTAAGACATCATAATTCATTATCTGAACAGGTGTATAAATTATACATTTTTATATTAACCATTTTGTCCACAGTGCTGTATAGGTTCTGAAACACTATCATATGGACAGCAAGTCATTGGGTAAATAAGAGGGAATAGCAAGTGGTGTGTGTAAATGAACTTTGTCACTGTGTGGTTGATCATCTGCACTTTAGAAATTGTTCGTATTTATAACACAAGTAGATAATTCAGCATAGGTATTGAATCATCTGAAACCATTCAGATATTCCAATAATTGGAAGATCTGACTGTTTTTCAATCAGATTGCAAAGTTTGGATGTAAAGACCTGAGCGAGCTAGACTCATTTGGCTGAAATTTTGCTTTGCATATTAACAGTGTATGGATTTCTGGATTTCATTTTTAATAATCTCAGAGTGTTAGCGTTAGCCACAAAGTTCTTTGTTCAGCATCAAGCTTTAGGAGAGTCCCATGGCCTTCCCAAAGCTGTTGCTTATGGCCATAAGCAATCAGCTCAACACCATCCTTAGCTGAATGTGTAACTGGCAGATGGATACCCATAATGAGCAGTGAAACTAGTCATGCAGTTCATAGTCCCCACCTAGCTGCATTGCCGCAGCACAGAGATCAGATATCCTGTTTAGCCCTATGGTGATAACACAGAATTGTAGTGGTGGGCTCTTACCTCTAACTAGTGATAAAAACACTCAGCCCAGCCAGTTACTTCAAAGAGGTAGAGATGAAGACCTGTCTGGATATCTGTACCATGATAAATGAATCTGGAAATTCTATACCGGTAACTTGTCACTTATGCTGTGGGGACTAACAGTGCACAAGGCAGGAAGGCCTGTATGTTCTCCACTGCTGTGTTCTAAGGATGCTTATCCTAAGAGAGAAGTAGCAGAGAAAGGGAAGCCACAGAAGTCTGGGTTCATCAGAGCTTCATTCTCTCAGATGAATGTATTCCAAGAGTTATAAGGTAAGATGCATGTCACAAAATAATTGAGCACTTGGTATCAGTGCAGAGAAAAGCAAGCTAAAAGAAATATACCTTTTGTACATATACAGAAGGTTATTATAATTTTTACTAGAATTATAGGAAAATTAGAAATTTTATTAAGCATGAAGAATGTAACAGAGTAATTAAAAGCTGAAGTGGGTTATGTCACAAAAGTTGGCCATGGAGTCTCAGATCAGGATATAAACCTATAGAGAATCAAGTTTTCAGGTCTTCTGGCTTACCTTTCAAAATGTGTATTTAGGTCTTCCATTTTAAGCATTTCAGAAGTCATTTGTTCCACTGGCTATCAAAAAATAATTTGATCACTTTTTAGATGTTTCAGTATGAACATGAAATAAATGAAATATCAACCTCAGCAAATAATGAAGCTGCTCTTGAAAAAATGCTGTTTAAGATTATTGATCTTTGGAATACAACACCTTTACATGTGGTCCTTCATCATACAGAGCTGTACTCTGTCCTAATAATTTCATCTGTAGATGATGTATTAGCTCAGGTAGAAGAGTCTCAAATCCTACTTGCAACAATTAAAGTATCGTCTTATCTTGGACCCTTTAAGGTAAATACTATGGCAAAGGGAAAATGTTTTAATTTTCTACAGTTTGTCACTTTAATATTTTACATTCTATAATTTTACTTGTGCTTCAGAGTTATGAAAGTCTTTTATGTTCTCATCTAGATATGAGATTGAATATTTAATAGTCTGAATGCTAAATATTTTATAAGAATATTAATCGTTCATGGGGAAATGTCAGAAAGTTTAATTTGGACAGAGAAGATAAATTTACATCATATAAAAGCATGGCCCTCAACCCTGGTAAATTTAGATTATGTACAAATATGACTCCACAAGGTCTGGCTGTCCCAGTGGTGTTGAGTGTGCTCTGATGATTCCCCAGTGTACAGCACTCCACCCAATGACAGATGTAGAACGCATTTTAAACTTACGGAAACTCAGCAAAATGTGCAGTAGTATGCAGATATTCAATAGCAAATTCAGGTGACTGATTATACAAAAATACATAAATATATAGAGACAGTGCTATATGAAGAGTTACATGCAAGTATGTACTCAACGAGGAATTCATATTATTTACAAACATAAACGCTTAAGGAAAATGTGGACCATACAGAAAAAAAAAATCTCATAAGTTAACAATAAAGAAATAACCAACAAGATTATATTATGTAATAACATATAGCAAATAAAAATGAACAGGAAAATATCAAAAAAGCAAATAAAATCAAACTCACAAGAATAAAAAATTTAAAATTAATATATATAGAAAATATCAAATACCAAATTTTTAAAATTTAGAAATAACTTTAAAGAAGAGACTCATGTGTCAAACCTTGTCATCTCTGGCAAGAGCCCTATGAAAATGAGTATTTAGAGCATTAAATACCTTTATTAAAAAGTTAAAATGAATTTAGGAAGTCATAAATTAAGAACATTCAAGAAGCTGATGAGAATGGCACGCATACCCCACAACTTCTGCTTCCAAGCAAGGTGGAGTATAAGAAACACATTCTCCATCTTACTCGAACATCCAAAGAAAACCAGACAAAATATATGGAACAATGGTTTTCAGAACACTAGACATTAGGGAACAAAGTACCAGGATGTGTGAGGTACGAGAAAGAAACAAGGTAAATCCTGTGGTTGCACCAACCCTTGGCCTTCATTTTAAGACTTCAGCAAGGGGAGAATCCTTGTGGACTCCCTGGCATGGGAGATGCTTTGAGAGTCTGGAGAAGCAAACAAGCCTAGAGTTTGCAAGACTGTGCGTCACAGAAGGGCATGGTACAGAGAGGCTCAAAAGGTCTGTGGACAGCTCCCACTCAAGTGCCTCAGGGCCTTGCCCAGCGAGACACCGTCTCTGGGAAGACATCCTCTCAGAGCGTCTCCCTCCTCTCTTCATGAGCTACCATGGTGCGAACTAAAACAGACAGTGTCTCAGGCATTTAACAGAAGGTGGTGGCTTCTCTTTTGTTTTTTGCTGTTGAGGATGGATTGAATTCAGGACCTTGCGCTTGCCAGAAGGGTGCTTATGCTGCTGAACTGTATCTCCGGCCCCAGTGATGGCTCCTTGAGCTCTCAAGAAGGTTCTGGGTCCCTCACTTCTGCCACAAATTCTATGTCACTTTTATCCTTGAGAAAAGTTGAAAGTAAGTATTCAGGAGGGAATCCAGTTTGTGTATGTCCAACTCCCAAGTGGCAAAAAAGGCTAGGAGAATTTTTGGGCTTTCCCCTAAAGCTTCTGAAAAAGGGAAGTGAATTCTTGAAAAGCTCAGGAATAGTGGGTTAGGAAAAACAAAGAGAAAAGCATGTCCTTTGCAACCTGATTACAGTGATGATGAAAAAGAATAGAACCTTCTTACTCACTTTTAAATCATGTCTCCTGTTTACATTGGTATTCTAGGATCTAAATTTGTGTAGATGTGTTAGTTTAATTAGCTTTGTTGAATAGGCATTTAGTTTAAAATATGAAGCTAAAATTTAGTTATTCAAAAGCGAGGAGTTATGATTGAATCAAGCAGTTATGATTGTAAAAATTATGGTTGTTCATCTAAATACCATATTCAATATAATGTCATATATTTCTGTTACATTTTACTAAGCTTCTTGTCCTTGCTAAAAGAAAAGCAGTGCTTGATGTTCTAATTTAATCTCATGTATTTGATATTTGCACAGACCTTTGCACTGATGCTGTTTTTAGTGGCATCTGACTTGAAATAGTGCCATGTTTTTATGCCTTTTATTTGCTTTTAAGAAGCAGGGTTAGACTTGAGGAGCCAGTGAAGGGAAGGGCCAGTCTTTCTGTTTTTAAATAAACATTTTATTTTATTTTATTTTATTTTATTTTATTTTATTTTATTTTATTTTATTTTTGGCAGAACAGGGGATTGAACTCAGGCCCTTGTGCTTGCTCAGGCGCTTATTCTACTGAGCCATCTCCCAGCCCCCTATCAGTTGATTTTTAATCATTTCCTCATTATTTTATCATTATTTATTTATTTATTTGCATTTTAGGACAGGGTCTACAGGGTCTCGCTGTGTAAACTGGAGAGTCTGGAGTAATCCGCCTGTGTCCAGCCTCCCGCGTGCTGGGACCACAGGCGCGTGCCAGTGCGCCCTCCCGGGGTCAGCACGCCGGGGCCTGGGCACGCCCGCTGCAGCTGCTTAAGTGGGCGCTCCTCATTATTTTAACAAGCAGACGAGTTAGGGAAAAGTCTGTACAATGGGATTTCTGACATCATTTAAAGAATGAAGAAACCTTGTAGTCGTAGAAAAACTCTCTAGAAGACATTATTGGCTTAAGCAGGTTACAGAAAAAATGTGTATTGTATGGATGTGTTTAGGTAAAACACTAAAGACATTACGTGAAAATGTACAAGTATGCAAAAGTGCTCAAAAAAGAGCAATCAAAAAATATACAGACAAAACTGGTCATATTTCTTGTGTGATAGGAAATAAATGTGTCGGAGACATATGTCTAAAGACATGTGCATCTAGCAACCAGCATGTATTTAAAAAAATGGAAAACATTAAACATTTATTAAGTGGAAAAAATAAAAAAATAAAAACATGTGCATGTTACTCGATCTTTTTTTAAAATAGTTAATATATAAGAGACAAAACTGGATGAATAGGACTCTCCAAAACAAAATTTAATTAGATTTATATTCAGTTATGTGAAATTTTATTAATAATTCTTGTATATCAACAATTGGCAGTCATTTTTATCTTAGTTTTATTTATGCAATTCTTATAATTTCACATATTTAGATTATCAGTTTTTATCATTGTAGGAGCTTGTGAATGAATGGGATCAAAACTTAAGTCTCTTCTCTTATATCCTTGAGAAATGGATGAGTTGTCAAAGAACTTGGCTTTATCTTGAACCAATCTTTCGTTCATTAGAAATAAAAAGGTAAAACCAATCAAAATATGCAATATGTGAGTTTTGAAAAATACTGCATAGTGGGGAATTTAGTTTCTGTAATTTTATGTATTTAGGACAGGGTCTATAGGTTCTCACTAGACAGATCAGACTTATAGTGATCCTCCTGTTTTCAGCCTCCCAAGCACTAGGATTACAGGCATGCCCCACCATGCCCAGTCTCTTTTTTATTTATTTTACATTTTTATTTTAATTTATTTGTTTAATGTATTTGGTTGTTACAGTCTCACTGCACAGCTCAAACTCATAGTGATCCTTCTGTTTTCAGCCTTCCCAGCGCTGGGATTACAGGCGTGTGCCACTATACACAGTCTTGGTGGCCAGCTCAGCCCGCCGTAGGGGTGGGGCTGGTGCAGCATGTGGTGCTGGGGATCAAACTGAAGTCCCTGCGCTTGCCTAAGCAGGTGCTTTAGTCTGCTGAGCTATCTCACCTACCCTGAGAATTCATTTCTTTAATGAACTATCCTGCCTACAAACATAGATGTATATTTTTCTTTCATAAAAGGTTATAAACATCTTTTTAAAAAATACCTTATTTCGGGGCCAGGGAGATGGCTCAGTGGAATAAGTGCTTCCCTGGTTAGCTCAAGGGCCTGAGTTCAATCCCTGGTTCTGCAAAATAAATAAATAAATGAATCTTATATCTATATTCTTGCTATAAAAATATTAAAAAAACTGGGAAAGCAGTGTCAGATATATCATTACAATCCTGAAGCAACAACATTATATGTCTCTGTAGTTCTGGAATATTAGTGTGGTTTTGATGTCTGTAATAGTTGTAGCAGCACTTCTACCTTGACTTTCTTACACTGCATAGAAAGCATAAAGGTGGAAGAAGAGAAGGCCTTTGCAGTTATTAAAATTCTATATTTTCCTTTGATTCATAGCATTCAAATTAATTGGCTTCAAGCTTTTTAAAGTGATTGATCTTAGGAGTACTTGAGACAAACAAGTTATATAGACAGAATTTAAACTACTGACAAATCATAAAAGCTAATTTAGGAGCCATCTGAAATAGGGTAAGAAGTCATGAGATGTGTACTTGAAAGGTCTAGCAGTCATGGAAGACCTTAAATATCAGATTAAATACTTCAAATTTTATTTTTATTTTGTTTTTATTTTGGGGGAGTCACTGGAAGTCAACAAAAGAAAATTGTTTACAAGGGAGTACTTCTTTGTAGGGAACACTGTTCAGTTTTGTTTTATGTGGGTAGTTTCAACACATCAATGCCTGGGCAACTTCTCTTCTGTTAACCCATTGCTACTCTCAGGGTCTTCAGAGGTACTCCACTAAGGAGCACAACCTCTGTGCTTGCCACTTTCTCTTCTCTTCTACTAACCAGTAGCTATTCTGAGAGACAAGTAAGAGGTGAAACCACTTAAGGAGTCTACCCTCTGGCTGCCACAACTTTGAGCCTTAAGTTCAGTCTTTACTGTTATGATTTCCAAATCTCTTATACCTTGCTTACTTCTACTTTTATTATTTTTAAATTTCTTTTGGTACTGGGACATTGAACTCAGGACCTTAAGCTTGCCAGGCAGGCTCTGTGCTGCTGAGCTATATCCCCAGCCCCTTAAATTCAGTCTTTAACACTACATTTTTTACTAGTTTTTCATTAGTGTAGTGATCAGACTCCTAGGTAAGGATGTCTGAAATATCACTGGGCTGTTGCTTTACAGCATTTGCTGAAGTTGAAAAGGAAGTGTTAAATTAAAATTAGAGGAGCTAGAGTATTAACATAGTGTATGACAGCAGCAAAAAAATAGGAAAATATGGGTTAGTTGTGGACTTCCCTTCTACAGTACCAAAAGGGTGATAGGACCTGGTACCTATGGGGAAAATATGAGAAAAGAGGAACAAGAGCTCCATCAAGGGGATGTTTGTGTACACAAGATCTGTAGGGGTAGAGGAGACGTTAACCCATTGCTACTGTCAGTACCTTACCGCACTTCAAACCCAGAGGTGCTGCCTCCTGGAAGGGTCTCACTGAGCTGCAGAAACTTCTGTGCCCCTCAGTCAAGATGGGACTATGACAAGGACTATGACTCCAGGTGGGAACCCTGGAGTGTGGGGTATTAGAAACAGGGTTTGCTTCCTCTCTGGAGAATTCTGAGCAGTTTTTAGCAACAGGAAAGGAAAAAGGGCAGAAATGCGTGGTTATCTCAGACTCTGTTTCTAAACAAGAGTGATTTTTTCCCTCTGGACATTTTGCTGTCTGGGAACATGTTCAGTTGTCACAACCAAGAGGACTCTACTGACATCCATGGGTAGGTGCTGCTAGCCAGAGATGCCCTTGAACACACTGCAATGCATGGATCCCACCCATCCTCAATTATCTGGTCTAAAATGTGGGCAGTACTGAGGAAGGTGAGCAATCCTGATTTAGATCATGGAGGTGTACAAGAAGGTTCCATCCAGAATAGACAATTTCTTCCCCAGTTCAACTTCTAACTGCTAAGATGAGATGCGGCTAGGATATACATGTGAGCAGAGAACATGATAAAGATCACCTTTGTAATTTTTGAAAATAGTTTCCCTTACTCACCTTTAGCAACAGCAGACATCTAGTTCATCCCAGTATATCAATGGATTTTTTTTTTTTATTTTAACATTTAGTGTGTGTGTGTGTGTGTGTGTGTGTGTGTGTGTGTGTGGCCAGCTCAGCCCACCAGGGGGCGTGGCCGGCATGTGGTGCTGGAGGATTGAACCGCGGTCCCTGTGCTTTGCCAAGCTTGTTCCAAGTAGGTGCTTTAGACCACTGAGCCATCTCTCCAGCCCCATATCAATGGATTATCATGCCACAAGGAATTCTGCTTCCTTTTCTAAGTGGTAGAAATGATAATATTCTATAAAGGAAATTTCTATACCAAGACTGATACCTGCCTTAAATGTCCTTCTAGGATGAGATAATCATTAATGGAACTTTGATCTTGTATCTATCTCTTCACTCTTGCTCCACAGCTGATGTCTTCTCTGCCTTCACTCTACATTAAACCTGTACTACTTTAAAGCCCAAATCACATAGCTTCTCCAAAAGGTTTGCTTCAGGCCCCACTGATTGTCTAGAGCTTGAGTAGCCCTTATGTTAATGAAATTTCTGCCACTGACCAGGCAACTGTAAGTGGTAAAATGTATTTTCACTCATAGTTTCAAAGTCTCCAGTCCATGGTCACTCAGCCCTGTTATTTTTTTGCCCATTCACTTTGTGTGGCCTGCAAGCAGAGGAAGAATGTTGGCCAAGCTCCCAGCACCCACTCAAGGCCCTCAGTGACTCCATTCCTCCCTCCACCTCCTCCTAGAGCTTCCCCTCCATCCCTCTAGTACTGCAGACTGAGAGCAAAGCTCTAGTACACAGGATTCAAGGACATTTCACATCCAAATGACAGCATTGCATCCTCTGTTATGACACAAATTATTTAGGTATTTTTGTAGAACTTTTGTTTCTCACCACACTGGAAGTGCAGTGTTATTAAATGGTAATTATATGTCTAATCTATCTTAGTTTTCCTTAATATGCACAGTCCTCATACATAATACATACTTCAAAAGTATCTTTAATAACTGATCAAGAAAAATAAAACATCAAAATTATTTTCTAAACTCAGCAATATTCTATGACAGATGTATTTAGATTACACATTTTAATTGTACAAAATAGTGACATCTCATTTTATTTCTAAAGGCAGCTGCCTGAAGAAACAAGATTATTCTTTCACGTGATTGCTATATGGAAAAAACTAATGGTAAAAATACGAAACAAACTGGATGCTTTGCGAATAACCACTTCTATGGGAGTACTTGAAATTCTGCAAAGTTGTGATGTACATCTTGAATGCATAAAAAAAAGTCTTGAGGTAATACAATACAACCTTAAAGTGGAGACTCATTTAACTCTACAGTAGGAATGTAATACACTACAGAAATTAATTCGAACAGATATTTTTCTGTAGTCTGTGAACTATTTTTTTGTATCTTTTGTTACCTATTACATTAATGAAAATAACAAAGAAGTAAAAAATGGATGGAGTGATCTAAATGGCCTTCAGAAAAAGTACCAAACTTTTAATTACTGAGGTTCCCTTATCTTTACATTGCTCCCTTGAGGGCTTTGTCCTATTGAGATACTGTAAGAGCAGGCACAAAGCAAGTACTTCTTATTACCGACTAGCCCTATAATATCATTAAATTGAGCAAAAGTTGAAGTAGAATGTTTTGATGGCTATATAAATTACATGACTGATCCCATATGTTTTACCTTGTCAGAATATAAAATTATCATCTAGCCCTTCATACCCTTAAGTACTAGGTTCTACTGTTGACATTTTGTGCTGCTCATATTCATGTCACTTCATGAGCAAAGGTTTTTTTCAAGTGTCCATTGCCAAGTCTGGTTGAACACTGGCAGTGGTGTGAGGACCCTTTGGAGGGCCATGTCCAAATTTGTGCTCTGGGCAGGCAGCAGGAGTGGCACCCAGAAATGTGATTAAAAATAACCAGTTTTGAGCTGGTTGTTTTGGCACCCGCCTGTAATCCTAGCACTTGGGAGGCTAAGGCAGGAAGATTGCTGTGAGTTTAAGGCTAGTCTGGGCTAAATAGTAAGTTTAAAATTAGCTTGAAGTACAGTGATATCCTATCACAAAACTAAACACCAATTTACTAAGCAGTCATTGAAATAAGCCTTCTAGATATTTCTAGCACATCCCAAACTGAGGATCTATTATTGAAGGTCACACATACCAGTACTTTTTCAGTTATTTGTGGATTGACTAACCTACTTTGTACCAGGCAGTACTGCTGTCTGCTTAGACCACAAAAATGAAAGTTCTCTTTCCTCTTCTTTCAGTGAAGAGATAGAGCAGTAATATTGTCTCAGTTACTCTTCTCTTGTTAGCACAAATACCTGACACCCAAAATGAAGGAAGGAAAGGTTTATTTAGCTCACAGGTACTGGAGGTTTCAGTCCTTACTCGGCTGGCTCCAAGGCAGCCTGGCACATGGCAGAGGGCAGCAGCTCATGGCAGCAGAATACAGCAAAACAGCAAGAGCACATGGGAGGAGTAGCGGCAACAAGGGCTACAGAGAACAAGTCTGTCTCTGTCTCTCTTATGTTACATTCAGGCTATCCACCCCCAGGCTGGGTGCAGCACTCATTCCCATAATCCCAGCAGTACTCAGAAGCATAATCCCAGCCTTGGATTATGAATTAATCACAAACTGCAGAACTGTCTCTAGTGTGGTCCAGCTGGGGAAACTGCGGCTCAACAGGACCTTGTCCCGGCTGGGTGAAATAGAGTGAGTGGGTGTGAGGCACTGCTTAGCACAAACCTGGGCAGCAAGTTGCCTGGGGATAGCTATTAAGAACTGAGGGTCTCAGGGAGCTCAAAATGGTAAGGGAAAGGCCTTAAATATTGCCAGATCTTAAATTTTATCAGCAGCCGCTGAAGGATTTTAGGTAGGAAAATGAAATAATTTAATTCAGAAATGTCTCTCTGAAGAACAGAGTATGTATGTATTGGATGCTGCTATGATTTGTTTTCTGTTGCACTAGGAAAACACCCAAGATCAGGCCATTTAAATGGAGAGGAATTTGCTTTAGCTCTTGGTTGGCTGACTAGAGTCCAGGAGCAAGCCTGACACAGCTTCTGGCTGAGGCCTCCTGGGCTGGGTCTCCCAGCAGGACAGTGCAAGGGCGGGTAGACACAGGAAATGGACACACACCAACAGCCCCTCACCCTGTTGTCCCTAGAGGACTGACCTGTCCCACCCACCACACCAGTCCCTTCAGAGAAAGAGTGGAGCCTAGAGGCCTCTTAAAGGAGTTACCACCTCTCACCACTGTGATGTGGAAATCAAATTTCAACCTGAGTCTCAAAGGTAGTAATCACATTCATGTGGATTTGGGGGGGGCAGTGAGTTGGTTTGTTTATATTACACTAGTGAAATACATGAAAGGAGGTTGATGTTAGCTGATGGTTCTGGCCTGAGACTGTGGGGCTGCTTTTGGTACAATCTTCCTAGTGGTCAAGTCTGGGGACACCCAGACACCTTTAATCCTCAAAACTACCTGTGAGCTTTTAATTCTGATCACTTCTAAACACCACATCAGATGAAGTTTCCACCCCCCCCCCAATGGGGACTGAGTTCCAACACACTAAGCCCTGTGTAACTAACCCCACATTCATACCAGGGTAAGCAGTAGCAATGTATATTAAAAATCCAGTTAAAAGCCTAGAAACACTGGGCTGCTCCTAGAACAGGATGAGAGAAGGATGACAGTAATATCAAGGCCAGGTTGTGCCTTGGTTTCTGACCTGAGTGACAGTGTGGACGATAGTCATCCACAATAGCAGAAGCTGGAGGAGAAGGTAGGTGTGAAAATGAGTGAGTTTTGTTCACAGTAAAATCTAAAGCTCACAGGCCCTTCGAGGGAGTAATTGGCTACAGTCATCCTGGGCTGCAGTTTTACTGTCCCTTGTTTCTCTTATAAGCTGTCTGCAGTCAGCTGCACTCTGGAAATACTAGATAGAATATTCCAGAATTGAACAATTCATACATCATAAATCATGATGCTTTCTGAGCATGTGATAACCTGGCCAGCTCCATCCCCCTGGGACTCAAACCCTCAGCTACTCACTGTTCACTGGGCAGCCACCTCATAACTGAGGGTCCAGTGTGTGTGCCCAAGAGATAGACAGGGTGCAGTGTCACTCACAGGCCAAGTGTTGAGGAGGTCCTGGAACTGTCACTGCAGGTAAAGGACCCTGCCAGGTGTCAATCCAGGGCAAAGAGTAGCAACAGGTGCAGGGACACAAGTGCCACAGAAAGGAAGCCATAAGTCAGAGAGGGTAGAGTCAGCATTGCCCCACGCACTGTGAAGACTGAGCGGCCCAGGGCATGATGGTATGAAGTGACAGTGGTGGTCAGGGACATGCAGTAAGATACATTGTCTTGAAAGCCCTGGCTTGGACAGAGATGGCTGGAGGGGAGCAGAGGGTGAGAGGCATGAGAGAAGCTGGAGGGGGAACCACAGCAGGGGAGCAGGTGTCTTTGCCCAGCTGAGTGAAGGTATCTTTCTGAAAAACAAAGAAAGACAAAACCAAGGCAAAGCCGTGCAGAGTTGAAATGTACAGCAGGAGGTGTGGTTACTGGTGAACAGATGGCTTCTCCTCTAGGAAGGTGGATATCATGTAGGAACCATAGGCAGGAAACTGGAAACAGGGAAAAGCAGTGCGGGCAGTAGTTTGTGATCAGGAAAAAGTGTATATGTGTAAGGATGGTGTTTTATGTTTGTTTCTGTTTTGGTTTTCATTCAGTTTTAGTTTATTAAAAACACAAGAGATAGAGGGGGAAGGGCGATGAGAAGGGGACATAGAAAGAATGCAGATGTGTTATGAATGGGTGCCAACTCTGCAAGGGGAATGCGATCATTATGTATGCCTAACAAGGACTAATAAAAATAAAGATTAAAAATATTACTAACTTAAGATAGCATTCACGGAGTTTGGAACACTTTTAATGGATAGCACATGCACACTGTCACTTCAGCATGGTGATTCTCATGCTTACATGTGGGCCTAAATGAGTTAGATGGGATCTTCATCATGATTTTTCATAGATTCGGAATGGCATTTCTTTTTCCTCATACAGGATTACCTTGAAATTAAACGAATGGTTTTCCCAAGATTTTACTTTCTCAGCAATGCAGACCTTCTTGATATTCTAGCAGCAAGCAAAAATTCTGAGTCTGTACAGGTAATTGCATTAATCTCCACTGAGAGACATTATTTCATTGCAGATCAAGCTTTATGACATTACAATCTATATTTCTGGTTCACAGCCTCATCTTGTGAAATGTTTTGAAAATATAAAGCAAGTCCTGATCTGGAGGCAGGAGGCTGGGCCTCCTGCTGTGAGGATTCTCCTGTCTGCTGAAGGGGAAGGTCTTGTGCTGCCCAAGTACGGTGACAAGATGCTCAGGCCCTGTACAATCTCATTTCAAAATCTTTGCCTTAAAATTTCTGATGTCTCATAGAAGCTTCATGCAAACACTTTCTTCAGACTTATGTAACACTTTTGCCTTCCTTACTCCCTAAGATACAGTTTGGTCTTGTGCTGCACTCTGCCTTAAGCTTCCTTCTGACTCTCCTTCCAGTGCTTGAAGGCTGTCTGCAGGTTGGGATTGTTGATGCTACTGCCATTGCTGCATGTACCAGCTTCTGACTGGCTAATGCTTAGCACACTGGCAGGACTTTGAGGCCTGTGGGTCCCATGCTTTGCTTTGCCAGCCCCAGGAGGGCACCTATGCCCGAGCCTCCTTACACTGAAGCCTAGCCCAACAGTGCTGTTTGATAAGATTCCATGAGAATCCAAAAGCACTTCATAATACAATTTATC